CCCCCGCCGCTCCGGGTGCTGCTCAGCCCGGCCTCTCCCTGCGGCAGGCCCTGGGACGGGAATTTTGGGGCAATCTCTGCCTCTTTTGCTTCCACCTTGCATCAACCCCCAGGTGTGGGTTGATGTTAATGAACTCCCTGCCTGGAAGCCCCATGCAGCACAGCTGGAGTAAAGCAGCAGCTGCCAAGAGTCAAAACACCTAATGCTGCTCAGCTTGGGTGACTGTAAGGTCTTCTGCGGTAGCCCCAGAATGGCTTTTCCAGTATTGGAAGTATAACCTGAAATCTCTGATTTTATGCCTCTCTTTTCTAGAGTTAACTCTGCCCCAGTTCTACAGCTTTTTGCATGAGATGGAACGGGTCAAAACCAGCCTGGAAAGCTTCAGCTGAAACTGCACCAGCCTCAACAGGCAGCTCTCCAGGGTGCTCGGTTTCTCCTCTCGGTCTGCAGATCTGCACTTTCCTAGCTGACTCCAATAGCTTGATAACAAAAGGCAATTCTGTTTAGCAGCCACGGTGTGCAGACCCAGGACATGGTCATCGTTTAGAACCTGAATCTTCTGCAAGGTTTTTGAAGCAGCTACGAGAACAAGACCACTCACCTCTTTTTATACTCTTAGGATAAATTGTTGTCAGAGATATATGGACCCTTGTCTTGAAATAGCAAAGAAATAAACCCATTCATGCCCAGCTGCTTTTGTACCAACATCTGATTTTTTTTGAGACAGAGGGGAACACAAGTGAAGTATTATTTTAAAATTTGGAAAAATTAAGCAAACGGGGCAGAGGAGTGAGCAGAGCCCCTAATCAGATGCATCACTTAATGCTCACCCCTCATTTCTCCAGGTTGGACTGATAATGTGTCCCCATCACGCCTCCTTATGGAGAAGTATCTAAGTGGGAGATGATTTTACGTCTTAAACAGCCAAACAATTGCCTTGATGCAAAGGGGAAAAAACATCTTGGAGGGATCTAGACAAATCTACTTTTATGTATGTGGGACTCTAGTGAACATCTCTTTAATCTGCAGTTTGTGTGAAATAACTCAGACAGCTGCAGCCCATTTCCCTTGCAGGGTCCTGACCTGGCCATGGGGACAGGGAAAGATGCCACGTCCCACAGGGCTCCCCCGTGTCTGAACTGTCCAACAGTGCAGGGTTTTGGTTCCTAAAACCTCTGGGCAGCCTGAGCTGGGCACAAACTCCCCCTCAGCCCTGAGCCCGGAGCAGATCCCTCTCGCAGCACGTGCTCCTCCGCGCTTTTCCCAGGAGCGGGATGGCCCCGAGGAGGCTGGGTGGCAGTGGGCGATCAGCAGCACCGAGAGAGGTGCCCGTGTCACGCTCCGGTGTTTCCAGCTGACACTGGAGCATCTCAGCAGCTGGCACACTGCAAGCTGCTGCAGAACAGCGGGCACCACGGCTCCTTTGGGTGGGTTTGCTCCCAATTAGAGCTGAGCGCAAGGAAGCTGCAAAGCTCCTTGCAACCCGCTGCTCTCGGTGATGTCCAGCTTGCAGAAAATGGAGCATTTCCCTGCACTGCCTGCAGTTCTGCACAAGGAGCCAGGACCAGCAACATGCAGGGGCCCTGCCACGTGCTTGGGAAACGGCAGGGGGAATCCTGCTGGAAACCCAGCGACAGTATTTGCATATTTGTTTTCCCACATACCAGTCCATTCAGAAGCATTTTGAGCTCTGTCACATGATTATGGTTAATTAAAAAAAAAAAAAAAAGCCTTTGAAATAGTGTGCTACAAAATATTGCCTCTCCTTTTAGGTGGCTGCTATTTTGGGAAGGAAGGGTCTGAAGGGCTGTTTTCTCAAAACAAAAGGAATTTCTTTGCTTTACATTTTCTGCTGCCTGTTCCTATTATTTCTGCGAGGCCTCCCGGTGCCAGGGCAGCATCGCTCGGCCGTATCCAGTTTCA